ATCAAATAAAATAAATTATCAAGAAATGAAAATAAATTTCAAGAGGACTTTTAGAAGTGCCCTTCATAAAATAAAAAAACACTTTTTAATAATAATAGAAATATTTTTTTATTTACAAAAAAGAAACTAATGTAATTTTTAGAATCAATAAAATCGGAATGAATCTTATAGATGGTTAGAGTCAAATATGCAAAATACGTCTTTAGGAGATCTTTGAAAATACTAAACATCTTGATAGCCACTTAACATTGCTAGATATTAAAAATTGCGTTAATTAAAAATCAACTCCTTTGCTAAACATTCCTAGCATTGATTTCTATAAAAATCGTAGAAATTAAAAGGCCTTAAAATATTTCAAAAAGTCTACTTTGTCTACATTGCTAAACCTTAAATATTGTTGAAATACAAAAATCTACTCCTATATCGCCACTAGAAGTCCTCCAAACATATTATTAAAATATCTACGCTATTGACAGAACCTAAAGTTTTTGGAAAAATCCGAGTCTCAAATAGACCTTTATAAAAAATTGCGCCTTTGATTGGCCCTGAAAAATATTTATAAGAACTATACGCATTGGGAAGGCCCTAAAAATATTTAAAAAAACAGTGAGCGGAGCAGTATAATAGGACTGGGCCGACCATACGATACCCTACACAACTACCACGGAACTCTAACATTATGTCGATGTTTATACTGAGCCTGGACAATATTTCGTGATATTTTCACCCTCTTGCCCGATTAGAGATCAACAGCACATTTTTATTACACTGACATATTTTCCAAATATTACTAATACTCAGTACAGCCCAGATTCTCTTCACCGTGCGTTGTGTTGTGATGTTCGGCTTATAATTGTGGCCTATAGATCGATTCGAAAAAACATAAAAAATTATGTTTTCGATTCGAAAAAACATAACAAATTATGTTTTCGCTCCACTTCATCCCAAAATTATTATCTAACCTAAATTATAGTCGTTGTCCTTGACCGTACCTAGATCCTAATGGAAAATATCAATGCAATCAGCACTATATTTTCGCCCTCCAGTGTGGTAATGGCCTACTAAATAATATATGAATACGTAAGCACCAGGAAATATTTAAGTGTAACTCCCACATCCGAGTATATACGACAATATAATTGGTACCAATTTAAAGGTCAACCACTCCTCTTGGAAATATTTTCAGCCTCGCGGGTTTATATCCTTCAGGATATAGGCATAGAATACAAAATTTGTCATTTTTCACACAAAAGTCAGCGTTCAGTTGACCCGCTAAATATTGGCCAATCTTTATAAAAACAGGCATGATTATTCTTTGGCCCGATACCCTTCTCCGGGTAAAATTTCACGATGTTTGGATTGCGGCCTCTAGAGCGGCCAGAAAAACCGACAAAAAGTATTTGGTTAATTTCATCCCCTAAATATTAACCGATCTTTACCGAAAACAATAGGGGTCTTTATTGGCCAGAACCGGTTCCACATGCAAAATTTTGTGCAAATTGGTCCATAACTGTGGCCTGTATCGTGTTTACAAATTATAATGGACAGACGGACGGACACACATGTCTAGATCGACTCAGCTAGTCAAGCTATGACGATCAGTATACCGATAAAGGTGGTTCTAGGACCAATATTTCGCGGCGTTACAAACTCCTGGGGCAGCACAAAATATAATACCCTGACAACATAGCTGTGTAGGGTATAAAAATCCACGGTCCATATATGGTCCATAAAAAAATCTTTAGAAAATCCACGGTCCATATAGTCCATAAAAAAATCTTTAAAAAATCCACGATCCATATAGTCCATAAAAAAATCTTGAAAAAATCCACGGTCCATATAGTCCATAAAAAATCTTTAAAAAATCCAAGCTCCATATAGTCCTTGAAAAAAATTTCTTTAAAAAATCCACACCACCTATAGTCCTTGAAAAAATATTGTTTACAAAACCCATGTCTCATATAGTCCTTGAAAAAACATTCTTTAAAGAATTCACGCCTCTTACAGTCCTTAAAAACGTTTCTTTAAAACACCTACGCCTGATATAGTACTTAAAAAGCGTTTCTTTAAAAAATCCACTACTGATATAGTCCTTGAAAAAAAAATTAAATCACGCCTGAGTGCTTGAAAAAATATGCCTTAAAAATTCCACATCTTAGATGTTCCTTGAAAAATATTCTTTAAAAATGTATGCCTGATATAGTGCTTGAAAAAATATTTTTTAAAAAAAAATCCTCACCTGTTATAGTCCTTAAGAAACATTCTTTATAAACTCTGTGCTTCTCTGAATTTTTTTAAGTACTTCAAAAACTATTTAAAAAAAGTGGTGTCTTTAAAAAAATGCAAACTTTTTATAGTCTTGCAAATTATTTTTTAAAAAATAGTTTTAATAAATGGCCAAATCCTGTAGTCTTTGAATAAATATTCTTTGCTAAATATGCGCTCCTTATAGTGCTTGCCTAATTATCCTTAAAAATGTACTCTTTGCAACAAATATGTTTCAAAAATTTGCTCTTCGTATAGTCATTAAAAAAATGTTTAAAAGTCTTGACTCCTTATGGACCTTGAATAAATATTTTTTAAACATAAATCTACGCGTTTTATGGTCCATGAAAAATATTATTAAAAAATAAACTCTAAATGATATTCTAAAAAATCCACACCAGCTAGAATAATTTTTTTTTTAAATCCTGACTTCTTATAGTCCTTAAAAAGTATAGTCCCTGAAAAATGTCTTAAAAAATTCTGGCATATTTTGTTGCTTAAAAACAAAAATAAAAAATATTTGTAAAAAAACAGACTTCTTATAGTTCTTGAAAGTATATTCGTTGAATATCTAGGCTATTTAACTCCTTCAAAAATATTCTTAAAAAATCCACACCTTTGCAAAAAATACCATTTCCCTCTTTCTTCTGTAGAGCTAAACAATATTTATTTTGATTTATTTTATAATATAATCTACATAAGTTATTCTCTGAGGCAGTAAACAAAAATAAAATGAAGAAATCACTCACCTATAATATTTCCAGAAAAAATATATATTACTAGGCAAAATTTTACATAACAAAAAATAAATAACAACAGAAATCCAACCATTTGTCATAATACAAATACCACCAAAAAATCACACAAAAGAACAAATTTAAAAAAAAAATAATAAACACCCACACACACACAAGTCATAATTTAAAACATGTCATTTAAAACAGCCAAACAAAGAAAAAATTAGCATAAACATATCCTAACATATTCCCTACCAAAACAAAATCCTATATTCACACACATATACACAAACATGTGTCCGCCCTTAACAAATCTGACGAAAATCTCATTAAAGCCCTTAAAGCAAAACACCTTGTAAATGGTTTTTTGTTGTTGTTTTGTTATATGAAATAATTTTTGTTGTTGTTGTATAACAAAACAAAAAAAAAACCTAAAACAGGCATGTGTTGTTTTGAGGAAGGGACAAAACTAATTACATTTTAATTACAAATCATTATCACCCCAACGCCCATTTCCCCCCAAAAACTTTTTTGTCACAAAAAAAAAACCCCCAACCACCCCGATCTTTTTGAAATATTATAAAATAAAAAAAAAACAACAATTACATTTAAGGCTATTATAAATTTTTGAAAGCCTTAATTTTAATTAATTTTTTTCAATTACAATTTTTTTTCTAATTTTCAATGTAAACAAAAAGTTTGTTATTTTTGTAAAAAAAACTTTATGGCATTTTTTTGTCAAGTTGAGTTTGTGTCTTTGTTTGTTTATCGAATTTTTTTCAAAGCACCTTTTGTTGGACATACAAAAAATATTGTCACTACAACAAATTATTTTTGCAAATGCACCGAATTTTTGTTAAATCGAAATAAATTATATTTATATGCAAAAATATTTTTAATATAATCAAGAAATAAAAACAAAAACAATGCGTCATAGTTAATTTTTTGTATTTTGCTAATGTCGCATGTAGTGCAATTAAAAAAAACATTTTTTTTATAAAACAACAATTTTGAGTTTCCATAATTTCAAATATTTAACTTTGATTTCGATTTTGAAATATATATCACTGATATATATTTTTTCTTTTTGATATTTTGTTGATTATGCTTTTAGAAAACAAACCAAAAAATTACAACAACAATCTTGAGTATATTATAAACAATTTAGTTAAATATATTATTTTAATTAAACAAAAAAACTGTTTCTGTATGTCTAATAAAAATTAGATACTATTTTTAAAAAATACACATATGGAGTTCATTAAAAAAATTTTCAAGTTTGAAAAAAATATTTGTAATTCACTTTTATATTGGAATTAAAAACACCTTAGTATTCAGATTCGAAAAAAATAAACTATGGGATTGAAAATGTGATTTAAAAGCCACGTTTGTGTTGGTTTAAAAAAACTCACGAATTTAATGGATTTTGAAAAAATATATATTTTTATTCCCCTTTGGTAATGGGATTTATAAAATATAATTTTTAAAAAAAATCCACACTTTTCTTGGGTATATAAAAATTCTGTTTTTTAATACACTCTAGTATTCGGATACGAAAAAAATAAACTCTAGTATTGAACATGTAGTTTTAAAGCCCCACTAGAATTCGGTATTGGCAAAAAGAGATTGGGCCCGTCTGAACATGAAAACTTTTTTAATTGCTTATAAAATTTTCAAATTCCAATTATCTTCCGGTCAATGTTTTTTTTTTTAAATTTGAAAAAAAAAAAACAAAAAATAAATAATTTCAGAACCACAATATCGAACATACAGAAACAGTTTTCGATTATATTTATTTCAATTAGTTACCTTTTTTCTTCTCCTAATTTAAAAAATTAAACTTTCTTTCCTTTAGTTAAAAATAAATCTACACATAGTTTTCCAAAATTTTTTTAAAAATCTATTTTTCTCATTTCCCCAAAAATATCCATTTTACTAATATGCCATTTTATTTTTAAATTACCTTTTAAAAAACAAATTCTGCCCGCCGATAATCAGTTCGGGTATTGAAGGAAATCCAACGGTATTTTATCGTTTAATGCCTGGGTCAACGGCTCAAACGAACAAATTTCATACATTTTATCTGCAACAAAGACCGGATAATGGTGATACGTGGGCCGATATAAAAGTCAATCATCCGCTGGACTATGAAAGTATAAAGGAATATAACTTGACAATACGTGTTGAGGTAAGTACAAAAAAAACCAAAACAAAACAAAAAAGAAAAAAATAATAATAGTAAATAAATAAAAACCATATATGCTTTTAGGACTTCAAATAACATTTTTTGAAACACAATTCCCTATAATTTGTCATTATGTTATTCACTACAGATTTCCTGAATTTTCTCTTCTTTCACACCACTCTTGGTGTTGCCTTGACATACTTTCATCGCACTTTTGTCTCTTTTGTCACACATTTCTCAAAATTATGCCATTGTAAATGTATACTTGTCTATGTGGAAATTTTGTACATTTGTAGTCCTTTGATGTCCTCTTGTCTAGGCAATTCTAGATATGATAATGCAAAACATTTTTTTTTCGATATTAATTGGCAAGTGTGTTAATGACAATTGTCCAAACGGTCTATGGGCTATTTTTCTAAGTAAAATGTCTAGCCACATTTCTTAGGCAAATCAATGGAATGTGGACTAATTTAAGGACATAATTCATATACGCACACAAACATGCAAGGAAGAAAATGCACACTTTTAATAGGTCTCAAAAGACCTTTTTTAAAACGCCCACGCCTTTTGAAAAAATAACATTTAAAAAATCCAGGCCTTCCGTTGTTAAAAATATAATATATATATGTGGGAGCTATATCTAAATCTGAACCGAAAATGAACACACATCTTTCTAGACTTAATTCAGTACGCTGTGCCAAATTTCGTGCAAATTGAAAGATATATAGGGACTTAGGTACACCATTTACCTTAAATCGGACGAAATAAATATATATGGAAGCTATATCCAAATCTTAACCGATTTTTCCCAACTTAGGGTTCGTCCTTGGGCCAAATAGATAAGATAAGCCAAATTTCATCCAATTCGGATCATAAATGCGAGCTGTACTTCGTTTACAATTTAACATTGACAGACGGGCGGACATGCATGAATGGAGGTATAAAGTGATTCTATGCATATTCTCAAAAGGAACCATGTGTCAATCTCGTTTCCTTTTGCCTGTTACAAACATATGCACATAGACATAATACCCAGTACCACAGAGTTGTGAAGGGCATAATGCAAAAGTCCACGCGTCTTTTAGATCCCTGATCTGCTTTAAAAAATCCACGCCTCTTTTAGACCCTTGGATTTTTTTGTTAAATCTTCTTTAAAAAATCCACGCCTCTTTTAGACCCTTAAAAAATATCCTTTAAAAAATCCACAATAATTTCAGATCCTTGCAAAAATATTTTTTAAAAAATCCACATCTCTTGAAAAAACCTTCTTTAAAAAATCTACGCCTTGATAAGCCTTGAAAAAAATGTTCTTTAAAAAATTCACGCCTCTGATAAGTCTTGAAAAACCCTTTTTTAAAAAATCCACGCCTCCGATAAGCCTTGAAAAAAAACTTCTTTAAAAAATCTACGCCTTGATAAGCCTTGAAAAAAATGTTCTTTAAAAAATTCACGCTTCTGATAAGTCTTGAAAACCCCTTTTTTATAAATCCACGCCACCGATAAGCCTTGAAAAAAATTTTCTTTAAAAAATTCACGCCTCTGATAAGCCTAGAAAAAAAGTTCTTTAAAAATCCACGCCTCTGATAAGCCTTGAAAAATTATTTTTTCAAAAATTCTCGCCTCTTATAGACCTTAAAAAATATTTTTGGAAAAGCCACGCCTTTATGGTCATTAAGAAATCATTACCCTTTAAGTCCTTAACTATCGGTTTATTAATTTCCCATTTATTTATTTTTCCAGAATAATGGCGCCCAACAATTGGCCTCCGAAGCAACGGTTTACATTATGCTCGAAGATGTTAACGATGAAATACCGCTCTTTACGGAACGTGAACAGGAAACCGTACTGGAAGGTGAACCAATTGGCACTAAAGTGACACAAGTTAATGCCATTGATAAGGATGGCACATTTCCAAATAATCAGGTAAGTGGTTTGAGAAGATGATTGGATTATTTTTCTAAGGCTTGCCGATATTTGCATAGCAGCAGACTTCTTTTTTGAAAACAGCTAAACACACACAACAAAAATAGCAAAAATGTATAATTATGTTAATTATATTTTCGAGAAATTTGTCAAAGTTTTTTGCTGTCATTTTGAATTTTCATTTTAAGGAGATTGTTTTTGGCATCGTCGCGTCATTTTTTGCGATAAAAGTCAGCCAGGTGAAAATTATGTTGATAAGGTCGGTTTATTTTTCATAACTGACTTGGCAGAATTTTTGTTTTATCTTAAATTTTCTTGTTGTTGTTTTTCTTCCTCTACTTTTATTTGCACACCCACACACACACACAGAAAAACTGCCAAAAAGTGCTAATTACTACGTTTTATAGTCGTCCAAGTGTAAATTACATACTTATTTACACAAGACTGACAATTATACGCAGAAAATTTGATTTGTGTTAAAATTTTCTTCTGTCAGTTTTTTGTGTGCAGAGTGGGGGAGAGAGGGAGGTGGTGGTTGGGTGACATGACAAATTATTTTGTATTGCTGTTGTCTGCAGCATTTATTATGAGACGACTTCTCAGTTTCATGCGTCATAAATTCAACCGAATAGGATGTTAATTTTTTTACGATTTGGATTTTGTGTAAAGCTGAGGCTGTGTTTGATGTGTGGGAGGTCATGTTGAAAATTCAAGGTGAATTTGTCTCAAAATCAGAAGTTTGGTGGGGGTGAAGGAATTAAAATGAATTTAAATACAGTCCTTGAAAAAATAGTCTTTACAAAATCCACGCCTCTTGTATGGACCTTGAAAAAATAGTCTTTAAAAAATCCACCCCTCTTTTATGGGCCTTGAAAATATAGTCTTTAAAAAATCCACGCTCTTGTATGGACCTTGAAAAAATAGTCTTTAAAAAATCCACCCCTCTTTTATGGGCCTTGAAAATATAGTCTTTAAAAAATCCACGCCACTTTTATGGGCCTTGAAAAAATTGTCTTAAAAAAATCCTCGTCTGTTGTATGGGCCTTGAAAAAATGGTCTTTAAAAATCCACGCCTCTTGTATGGGCCTTGAAAAAATAGTCTTTAAAAAATCCACGCCTCTTGTATGGCCCTTGAAAAAATAGTCTTTAAAAAATCCACGCCTCTTGTATGAGCCTTGAAAAAATAGTCTTTAAAAAATCCACGCCTCTTGTATTGGCCTTGAAAAAATAGTCTTTAAAAAATCCACGTCTCTTGTATGGGCCTTGAAAAAATAGTCTTTAAAAAATCCACGCCTCTTGTATGGGCCTTGAAAAAATAGTCTTTAAAAAATCCACGCCTCTTGTATGGGCCTTGAAAAAATAATCTTGAAAAAATCCACGCCTCTTGTATGGGCCTTGAAAAAATCCACGCCTCTTGTATGGACCTTGAAAAAATAATCTTTAAAAAATCCACGCCTCTTACAGGCCTTGAAAAAATAATCTTTAAAAAATCCACGCCTCTTACAGGCCTTGAAAAAATAGTCTTTAAAAAATCCACGCCTCTTACAGGCCTTGAAAAAATAGTCTTTAAAAAATCCACGCCTCTTACAGGCCTTGAAAAAATAGTCTTTAAAAAATCCACGCCTCTTTTAGGCCTTGAAAAAATAGTCTTTAAAAAAACCACGCCTCTTACAGGCCTTGAAAAATAGTCTTTAAAAATCCACGCCTCTTGCAGGCTTTGAAAAAATAGTCTTTAAAAAATCCACGCCTCTTACAGGCCTTGAAAAAATAGTCTTTAAAAAATCCACGCCTGTTACAGGCCTTGAAAAAATAGTCTTTAAAAAATCCACGCCTCTTACAGGCCTTGAAAAATAGTCTGTATGGGCCTTGAAAAAATAGTCTTTAAGAAATCCACGCCTCTTGTATGGGCCTTGAAAAAATAGTCTTTAAAAAATCCATGCCTCTTACAGGCCTTGAAAAATTGTCTTTAAAAATCCACGCCTCTTACAGGCCTTGAAAAAATAGTGTTTAAAAAGTCCTCGTGTATTATAAGCCTTGAAAAATATTTTTTTTAAATTCCCCCCTAAATTTTATTAAATCCTTTATTTGAATCCTATTTGAAGCCTTTATTTTATTTATTATTTTCTTATCAAATTTAATTAAAACGCCACACTTACTGAAATATATTTTAATCCCTTACCTCGTCGCACGATGTAGAATCAAAATGAATATTTTTTGTCCTTCTTTCTTCAAATAACAAATGTCCAAAGTAAATGTTCACATTGGAGCCATTAATAATGCCTCAAGGTCTGACACAACTTTTTAAGCTTTTTCATTTTTTTGTTCCTTTTATTGTTGCGATGTCTTTTTTTACGCTACATAAAATCTTTAGACATTGTTGGAGGGTTTTTCTGTTATTCTTGTTCTAGTATTTTAATGTTTGGGGGATTACAAATTAAAATAAGAACTTGTTTCTTACACATAGGGGTCTTTAGGATATCTGTGCATGATTTTTTTTGTCTGTTGTGGCCATTGTTTTATGGCGTAACACCTTTGATGGCTTTAATCTGGAAGGCCAGAGGAAAAAAAATAAATGTAGAAAAAAAAGAACACAAACATAAAATAATAAGACGCCAGGAAACGTCGGACAGGAAAACAAAACGTTATGGAGAAGGGACTTATGCCGCTTGAACAAAGCTTTAATCCATGACAAAGGCATCCTTTCTCTATGCGATATGGCCAGGCTAGGAAAAAACAAACGATAGCAGACATGGTCTGCGACAAGCCAACCAAGAAAGTGGAAGTGGCAGAATAAAAACGGCAACATACCAGAAATAAGGGACTAAAACAAATAAATTACGCTTAGCCCCCGCCTAGCCAACCGAGCAGCCAAACCCACCGCTGATGAGAAGTTATAGCAGAAACCAAAAAGAATGGAATTAAAATATTCCAAATAAGAACGAACTGATTAAACAAATGCAATTTCAATGTTAGAGAATTTTTGTAGATGAAGAAAAAAAACTACATCAGGAATGGATTTTTTTTTGAGAAGTGGTGAAGGTAATCTTGAAATAGGAAAAACGAGAAAACAGATATAAAACAAATGTAAGGAGAAAAGAAAAACGAAAACTAATAAGTCGTTTGAACAAATCAAAGAGAAATAAAACAAAAAATGGAAAGCTTGCAAGTAAACCCGAGGAAGAAATGTGAAAAAATTTAAAACGACAAAAAATGTGATTTAACGGACAATTGAAAAAAACCGTGTACATAAAATTTTTTGAAGGGCATACCCATTACTCATTCTGTAGTGGATAATATTAAAAACTGTAATTAAGATTAGGGAAAATTTGCATAGCTCTTGTAGTTCCCGAAAAAATATTTAATTTAATTTAATATTTAAAGAAAATACACACACAAATTAAGCTAGCCTTTTAAATACTATTTAAAAAATTCCCATTAAAACCAAATGTACATTTCCGCGAAGCAAAAATATTAAATGTCTTTTGCATTCCTTATTTTTTTATTACAGGTCTACTATTACATTGTCGACTCGCCACGTAACGAAGGCAAAGAATTCTTCGAAATCAATTTACAAAGTGGTGAAATTTTCACCAAAACCGTATTCGATAGAGAGAAGAAAGGTGCATATGCGCTGGAGGTTGAAGCACGTGATGGTGCTCCCTCGGCACGACCCAACAGCAATGGACAACCAAATTCAGGTAGGTGAAACAAACATTTAAAAAGTTTTAAAAAATATGTTTACAACAACACATTAAGGATGTGCTAAAATTTATGGGTGTTGACATTAACAGTTGTGGGTTTTTCATTCGTCGTATAATGACCAACAGTCGTTAAGGTTTATTTTCAAGGGAAAATTCTAAAGAAAGGGGGTTTATTTGGAAAAGATTTCATGTGACCAAAAAAGTTTCTGAAATGTCTGTTTCTTTTTTTCATTATCACATGACCAAACATGTAGAGGTTTTGTTAAATTTTTGTTTGTCCTTGCAAAGAAAAATATCAACATTTGTCGGTTATGTAATATGCAAATATTATCCGATATAGTTTTCATAGAATTTCATTTCCTTTTTTTCTGGCTATAAGTATTTGAAAATTTAGCTTCATAGGACAAATCCAATGCGAAAACAAATAATTCGTTAGAAAAAAGAAAAGTTTTCTTGTTTCTTAGACATTTTTTATGGTTACTTGTTCCTTGATTCTTTAACATTTCTTGTTTCTTCTTCTTCTGGTATTTAAAGACTAACAAATTTTGTGGTGTTTTTGTTGTCCAAAAAAATATTTGAGAAGAAAACTTTTTTGATTTTTTTAAATCCAATCTTTCCAAAGCTGTTAAAATGAGGTTCGAATCCCAGCGAATGGGGAAATACATTTCTAAGCATGCATTCGAAGCATAAACTACAACACTAGGAAGTGATAGCGCCATCTATAAGAAAATATCAATACCAAAGTAAGCAAGGACCCTAACCATTGTACAAAATTCAATAGGTGCCGTTTCTAGATGGCAGACTCGTCAGATTTTTCGTAAAGTGTGCATTCGAAGCCCATTCACTTTTTAATAACTAACCTCGGCATCAATAGCATATATTTGGTGGTAGCGTCATCTACAGATAAATCTCAGTTATTAAATAAGCAAGAGCAGTAACCGTTATACGAAATTCAAGGAGGCACTGTTTCTAGCCTACGAAAGATGGCAGTCCTATAACCTAAGACAGGCTACAGTTCACCAATTATCACCCTTATCTAATACAAGACTAATCAAGATGAGTAACAGGAGAATCACATCTACATTTGAACTGATCTCAACAAAACCTTTTTTTTTTTGGTTCAATTTTGTGGGTTTGTTTGCTAGATACGATGTAGATTTATTTAAAATTGCTAAAATCTATTCGAAAATCAAAATTCTTCCATTTATTAAATGAAACCAATACATGGTTTAGTCGAGTACAGACTACAAATCGATGTGTACGGGTTCGAATCCCATCGAAGAAAGAAACATTTTTCCAATGCATGCATCCTAAATCGTCCGACATTCTAATAACCAACCTCGACATCAACATAATCTAGGTAGTGACAGCGCCACATAGAGGAACATGTCACTATTAAAATCAGCAATGATTCGAACCACTATAAAAATTCAAGAACGAGTTGTTTCTAGGCAACAATTGATGGCAACCCCATCATATAAGAGAGGCAACAGTCCACCAATGATTTGCTTAACTAACACAAGAACTAATCGATTAAGATCCCCTGTGTGAAGCCCTATATTTCCCAAGACAGGAATAAAATCTAAATTTGAACTTATCTCAATAAAATTTATTTTCTTGGCTCTATTTGGTACACTTGATACGATCTAGATTTTAAATGATACAAAAATCTAATCGGAAATTAAAAATCATAATCATTCCTACATTTCTTTAAATAGAACAAATCTGTAGTATAGTGGAATACTAACCGATGGGTCTGGGTTCGAATCCCACCGAAGGAGAAACAATTTTTTTTTACAGCACGCAGACCAACCTCAGTATCAGCATCATCTGGATGGTAATAGCTTCACCTAGAGGAAAATGTTAACACTTAAATTAACAAGGACCTCAACCACTATACAAATTTAAGGAGGGATTATTTCTAGGCAACAACAGGTGACAGTTCCATCACATAAGACATACTACAGCCCTCCAACGAAGATCTAATCGATTAAGATCCTATTTGCTCGGCTCAATTCGGTGCGCTAGATCTAGATTTTTTAATGATGCTTAGACCTATTCGGAAATTATAATCTTTCCAAAATCTCTTAAATGAAAACACTCCAAAGTGTGGTCGAGTACAGGTTACAAACCAATGGGTCCAGATTCGAATCCCAGGAAAGAGGATAACATTTTAATAACCAATCTCGGTATCAACATTATCTTGGTAACCTATAGGAAAATATCAATACTAAAAGTAAGCTTGGACATGAACCACTATTTCAAGGCTACACTAGATGGCCGTCCCAGTACCCAAGACAGGCCACAGCCCACGAATGTTCTCCCTTAGCTAACACAAAACTAATCGAGTAAGATATTTTGTGTGAAGCCATATGACAAATTTCTTCGAAGTATGAATCTGAAGTCCCTAATATTCTAATAACAAACCAAATAAGCAAGGACCACAACCACTGTACATAATTCAAAGAGACGATGTTTCCAGGCAACGATAGATGGCAGTCTCATTACCTAAGGCTGTAGCCTGCCACCAATGATCTACTTACTTAACACGAAGTCTAATCGAGTAAGATTATTTGTGAAAGCCATATATTCCCAATAAAAGTGATAGGAGAATACTGTACAAAATTTCGCCACAAACGGCTTATCTTTGGGTATTTGGTGTAACATTGAAATAACATCGATCGAACATGTTTATATGGGAATTTTATCAAAGCCTGAACCGATTTTAGTGTATGAAAAATTTTATATATAGTTCACATGGTCCTTTACAAAATGTTATTAACCTGTGTTAGCAGTCAGCTAATAAAATTATCCACCTTTTGAAAAACTGTTGCTATTTTGCTTCGCTCATATTCCCGAATATTTTTCAGTAAATATTGGTTTCATAGCGTTATTAGCATGATATTCAATACACTCTTACATTTGAATATTTTCTTTTTTTGGGAAACAAGATGTTATATAAATATTATTTGTTATGATATTCCAACAAGGATTTACATATTTTCATCAAAATACACCGAAATACAAGTGTACCAATCGATAGTAGTAAATTCCTGTGGCTTGCCACAAATCTGCAATGAATTGTCGTTTTGTAGGTGGGTGCATTCGTGTATATATGTTGACATGAATGTGTTAGTATGGTAATCGCTAATATGTATGAGTGGAATTTCCATTTGTAAACCATGATGATTTTACCTGAATTTCGATATTAGCTATTCATGTTCTTTCATCCAACTCTCCCACATTCCCCTACTCACTCTCCCTCTTAGAGCTTCATGTTCTAACAAAAGCATAGTTTATGCAAATTTTCAAATATACGACCACTACCGGGGAACAGTGATGCTAAAGTTGGAGATTTTTAGGGATTTGTCTCGATTTTTTTTCTGGTGGAGATAAATTGAGATAGATTTTTTCCATATTATAATGGAAAATATTTGTCGATCTGAAAATACCAAATTCTATAAGAATTGCGTATATCAGAAAAAATCTTTTTCTCTACACATTCCGAATTTGTCTAAGAAGATTTAGAAAGCTACTTTTATTGAAGGTATTTTAATTTTTTCAATAATTTAATATCGATTTTGCGTTTTTCGTAGAACAATCTTTATGACAACATTGTCTGCCTCCGATATGTCGCCATGAATTTGAATTGAACCCACAACAACAGCGAGACAGATAGATATTGAAAGGTTTGCAGTGATGTTGTCGTTTTTATGACTGTGCGATGGCCAATGAAAAATGTTTTTGTCATTTTCAATCAAAATCTTGTTGGCGCGACATTAACATATTCAAGTGGTGACAACGGAAATGTTATTGGCGGTGGATTTGCTTTGCTGTGGTGTGGTTACAAAAGCACTTGTGTCATTTCTTTTTTCTACAAATGCTCATCTTCTATGGGCACGTAGATAATGTATTGGTGTATTAGGGAGGATAGCTCACAAAAAATGGGAAAATAGATTGATAGATAGGGTTCCCACAATGACAACATTAGGCCAAAGGTTCCCACAACAACCATCTTTATCGAATAATTGATTCTTCAATCATTTATTTCTGTATTCCAACTAAGTAGATGAGTGATCTGTTGTAGCCTGTCCTAGGTGATGGGGTCTGCCATCTATCGTTGCCAATAAATAATGCTTACTTAATTGTGTTTGTCCATTCTCCTCTATGTGTCGCTAACCTCCATTCCTATATTCCTATATTGTATATCTGGGGGCCCCTGAAAGACGTTAAAACAACCTATATTTTCATTATACCACCTCTTTTATTAGAGTACCCCTGTAATATTCATAGATTGATGTTATGATAAAAACCAAAAGTATTGTATTTAGTAGCACATAAAAGAAGGACAATGTTTTCGTTTTGTTTTAATTTTTTTCTTTCGAATATATTCAAAATCGATGACATGCATTCCGAACGTGTAACCAATGACTTGTACTAAAATAAATATTTGTTTGGAGGACGATCTTCTTTCTTTTTCTATTTTGTTGTAGTATTTGTAAGAGGGCAGTAACCGCCCTCTATGCTAACTTGAACAGAAATACAGCGTCTGTAGTTTTTTCAATTATAATTGAACAAAGTAGCGAAAAATGCAAGCGCTTCACATATGTCAGGCTTCAGGCTAGATGATGCTTTCCTCACACAAAGGTGCATGTATTTGCATACATGACTTTTTAGTATGTTTTTGAGTAATGAAAAACTAAAGTAAAAAAGTTAAAAAACAACTGGTATGGTTATACAAATATTCCGAAAATAGAATGTAATCACCAATGGGAGACAACGGAAAATAAATTGAAAATATTTACAGTAATGTATTTAAGAAAATGATAATGATTTTAATGATATCTATAATATTGCCATGCAGCACCCTATAAAAAATTATGAAAACTTTTAAGCTTCCATTAGACCTTGAGAAAAATATTCCTAAAAAATACTTAAAAAATATTTAAAATATCCACGGTCCCTAAAGAAATATTCTGAAAAAATACACGCCCTGTGTAGTCCTTA